TTATACAAATCACTTGATTTAAATCATCAAAACCCTGTTAATCAGCAACTCTAACTTACAAAAAAATAAAATAAAATAATTGAAGTATATTTATTATTTTCATAACCAATCTTACTTTCAGCTTAAGAGCAGTTGCACTATTTTCATCCAGTAAACTAAGGTATTTTTGCACAGCTTGTCGGAACTCTGACAGAAGGCTAGCCAAAACAGGATCTTCAGCATCAACCTCATCCACTTAAAAAAAAAAAGAAAGAAAAGGTTCAAATTAGCTAGACTCATATTATTTAACTCACATTAACATTTCCTTACTATCAGGTTCATCAAAAGGCACTGTCTAGCTAGACCTGGGATCAGGGTCAAGACTATTTTTTTTTGGTCAAAGTAATAATATATGATATGAAGTATATAAGTGATTCCAAAAAAACAATTAGTATTAGTAATATTCTCTGTGTATATATGTATACACATATACATGTATACTCATATATATTTACAAACACACAAATTTAACAGGGAACATTCTTTAATGACTGCAATAGCAGGGGCAAACAAACATTTTTTAACTTAAATAAATAAATTAATAAAAAAAACAGTTCAAAAATTCCGAGAGTTAAGAAAGAGTTTGTTTTAACACTAATACCGATCAAAAGTAGTTTTGCAAGAAATCAGCTTTCAATAACTATACTGAAGATTTTTTTTGACAGAAAGCATGTAACATTACTTCTATCATAATAAAAATAATTTTTGAGTACTGTAAATGCTATTTGCCCTATGTTACTTCCAACCATTCAGTTATGTACTCAACTAAATCAAAATATATGTTTTACTGCCAACGAATAACTTTTCATTTCTTATATATTTCCCTAAGGGCCCACAATAAAAAAAAAAAAAAAAAGACTTACCATTGTCAGAACTAAGCTTGTCAAGTTGCATCACTGTCCCCATCGGGAAGGAACCAGCTAATGACACTTTCTCCACTTTGATACGACACAATCCTGTTACCAACAATGTGATCATTGGTTGTGGCCAATTAACCCCTGTCACTTGCACCACTACAGCAGCAGTGCCAATAAGAGGGGATCCCTAGTCAAGACAGATTGATGATCATGTGTTATCAGTACTAAAGTTACTCAGTACTTAGCAGTATCTAATATAAAGTAATTCAGATACTAACATCATCTCTGGGATCTCGTGGCATGATTCCAATAACAACGCTGGAAAGGGGGCTGCGATTCAAGATCCAGTGTTTAACCATTTCCATGCTATAAACAATTGTCAGGTAAATGTCAGCTTCTAGAATGCCATGAAATAATTATTACAATAATTGAGATTATTTACTTTTCAGATCGGGTAATGGGGATTCGAAGAGATCCCCCAGGTAATAAAACTTCATTGCTAACAACAAGCAATGGGATCCTCCTAGGGATTGAAACAATAGGTGGCATTTTTCTCCCAGAAAAATGTCTAGAGAACTTTGACCACCTTGCTATTTCCCTGCACTATCACGTTATATATTACTAAACACGACGTAACTTAATCTAGTAGAAATTAACCTCGCACAACAAAACTCTTTGAATTTCGTTTGTGTTTTTGAGCCGTTCTGGAGACCCTGCGCTCCTTACACGACGAATCCGGCCAAATCCGTCTCACCAATATAGTAGGAAGCACACAATTATCACGTTTTCACGAATCACTCAACTGTCGGTCAGTGCCTAGACAGTGCCAGTCACGGTGTAAGAAATGTTTCTTACACCGTAGCGCCAGTGCTCAAAGATCACAACCTTTGGATCTCATTACGAGACTACATACACTTTCCTACGCAGTTTTTACGTCTTGATTGGTTCATCTTCTCGACTCATGCAACACGTGCGAATGTAGATAAATCACGAAGTACCAACTAAAATAGTAGAAGTCACTAAACATTAGTGCATGCAAAGAAATTTACGAAGATAAATGTGACACAAAAATACGAAATCGAGCACCTGTTTTTTCAGTTTTCGGTTGAGTTTTAAACTAAAATAATTTTCTGGATTCCAATAATCCCTATATAATCATCCGTTGTTTTTTTACTTGTAGGTGCGGGTTGGCTATTTACTGTATTTGCTGGCGCGAATTCGACTACACATTACATTGGACCAAAGTTTTACTATTTCTTGTTACACAGAGGAAATAATTGACATTTAGTGTATTTTGTAGAGCTGAATTTTAAAATGCTCACAAAATAGTTAGGTATGGTCTCGTTGCCTTGTAATTTTAAGTATTACAAAAAATAGAAATTTTGCCTTTTCTCTACCTGGTTACATTATTTAATCTTTAATTAATTGAAAGAAAAAAAAAACGTTTTCGGTTGCCCTTTTTTTGTTGTAGTAAAGTGAGTCCACGAATAATGTCTAATAACCAGCTAGAATGGGTAGTTTTCAGATTCCCTGGTAGGTGTCTCTCAAACTAAAAAAGATTTTAAAGAAAAATTCTTAGCAATTCACAGTTTCTACGAGGTCATGTATACATCCACAATTCACAAGATTGGTAGCCTTCCATCATATAATGACATGTAAGATTAAACGACATTCAGTAATATATACATTTTGATTAAACACGGACTTCTGTACCTGTTCTGTACACCTGTACTTCTCGAAGCTCATAAATATTTATCCCATAGAAAATGTATGCGACTACTTTTTGGAGGGTATCAGCATTATGCTGAATCAAATATTTATTACCCAGGGTTGCTAGTCCAGGGAGATGGAAGATGATGCTAATAAACGATGAATGGACGACAGGCACAAACACACTCATGCCCGAGGCGGAACTCAGATCCGCGATCCTTCTAGTGACGGCTTGTGCCTAGGTTGCACAATCCTCAGATATATTCTAAAAACATCTCTAGAAGAATGGAAGTGAACTTACAGTCGTTTCTTTAAATAGTGTCTAATTGTCGTCGCGGTCAGTTGTCAAAAGAACCGCCAGGTAGCATCTCCGCGTACGCGCATCCTGCATCATTACCCAGCGGTCAAAATTGGGAAGGGATTAGGATATATCACAGCGGTTGGACTAACCGTTGCGAAGCGGGCAAACTCGTTTTGTTGGAACTAATTTTACATGAGATTGCCCGGAAACCTAATCCGGACCTCCTTGGCTAAAGCCGAGCGACACCGCTCTGAGCAACGAGATGGTTATGATTAGGGGGCTGATTTTAATGAAATGTCATTTTTTTTCATTTTAAAGCAAAGCCGTTTAGTATAGGAATTCATTTTATGTAATAACGAAACGAAATGACCCACTTTTGTCACTTTTCGTCGATTTCAACAAAGAAGTCATTTTTTACTTCACGTGATTTTTCACTGATCTAAACGATTTTAATGATACTTCAAACAGTATTTACGAAATGCAAAAAATGTTCACCATAAAATTCCAGCGTAATCTATTCCACTTCTTCGCTGATATATTGTAATGTCGGCCTTGAGAGTTCTATTAATATGTAATCTAAGGTTCCTGTGACGTTTATCGGCGCCATTGTCAGTTCGGCCGATTTCACCAAAGATTGCAATCTGAGTTCACCCGAACATCTTAGATGGTTGTCATCAAATTTTTTACGTTTTTCTTTGTTTTTCTGGCTTTTTTAAAAAGTATTTTAAGAGTTGTTTATTATTTTTTGGCAATGTTTTAGGTCATAAAAATCCGCCCCAAGTTTTATTTATGTCAAAAACAGTTTAAAACTGTGTGTGATATGTTATGGCGAGAAAAATTGAAGTTACATTTATGTCCAGAAGCAAAACAAGGTGTCATCTCAGCATTTGCTCGAGGATCAGGGACACCGAACGAACACCTGATCGAGATGGACGTCATTGACCCAGAAGCTGAAGAACAATACTTATTACAGGTTCTTTAGAATTATACAATCCAAAAGGTAAATAATGCACTGTCGTTAAAATTAATATTACTTTCCTTTTGTATGCTTGGTAGTCTAATTGTATAGAAACAGTTGTGCAGCAGAAAATATTTTACTTGGGAGATAAACTTTTGTAGTTATGATAAAAGTCAGATATTGCTCTGAGTTATGTAATAATGTATGTTCTATTATATAATTCTTCATATGGTTTTTGAATCAAACATTCTAAATAATAATTTTGAAAAAACATTATTGATTTTCCAAGCAAACCTTTTCCCCCACTCCCGTACCATCTTTGGAACACTGCGCCCGCCACTGCGTTGGGACCAAAATATGAAAAATATAACAAGTGCTAAAATAATGTCCGTTTCATGATTCGAATTTCTGTTAAGGTTTCCAATCTCAAGTTAGCAAAGAAAGAGGTAGTTACACGGAAATCCGGTCTCTGCTTATAACAATAAATTAGAAACTGTTCAGCAGAAGTAAAACCTAACTTGGAAACTAAGATCATCTCCTTTTTTAACCCATGATCATACACAAATAGTTAAATTTAAACTCTCTTGAATAATACACGCAACTAGGTCTGACTTTTCTCTTCAATACAACAACTGCGCAATTGATTGAATTGAGCTTTATGAAAGATATGCAAGATATCAATGCATCAACTGAGAGGAAATCATTATACCTTCTCAGTACCAACTGCTTGAAACAATATTTGGTATAATGCCCCAGTGTGGAGAATGTGCCAACTTGCAAAAAACTTTGCAGTAGACATTAAAATCATTTTGTTAGAGCAAAAAGAAATGTACATCTGATTAAAAATTATCTGTTAATTGACTTCAAATAACTCATGGTTGTGGCTCATTATTGTAAAAGATTACAATTTAGCCTATTGTTAAAATTTAATAATTCTATTTGAAAATATGAACACATCAATACACTTTTATAACAACCCAAAAAGAACTTTATTGTCTTGTCCCAACAGTAAGAATTTTATCTATTGTTATCTCATTACACAAACTGATGTATTACATAACAATTTGGCGATTGCCTGAGACTGAACAAATAAATAATAAAAAGGTTTATACAAATTGTTAGCACTAAATAAATTCCATAGAATATATTAATTTAATTATTTTATTGAAATATCTAGAAAAACAACAGAAAACATTTGTACAATATATATACAGACAATACAGATTGGGTAAGTAATAGGATGTTTAAAAACTTTTTTTTTCTTTCCCCCAATCATATTTATTTAATGTCCTGAAGAATTCCTTTTTACACATCTTGGTCACCAAGTTGGGTTGCCAAATCGTTGTACTACTTTATCTTGGGTCACTAAATCCATTTGTACTTTCTTTCTCATGTAGAAAATCGGACAATCTCGACTGAAAAGAAAATGATATTCATAAGTGATGTTAACAATTTATGTGGAGCCCTTTAAGTTCGTGTTTTACAAGTATTGGAAATATTGATCATCCCTTTCAGAACCACTGGATTGAATAGTATGGGCCAGTTTGCCCATAATCAATGAGAATTCAAAAACAGAGGACACATGAATTCTACAATTAACATGAATTCTGTTGAAGTAAATTAGCAACTTCATTCAACAAGAATAAAATATATAACATTTAATTTTGTATAACTAAATATAAATGTTTCCACACAGAAGTTAAAGTTCTTTATATTATACGAAATTACCTGGTGCACAAAACCTCCTCATGCAAACTTCCCTGACACCGTTGACATTGGGTCCAAAGACGAGAAAACTTGTTCTCTAGTTCACGGAAACGGAATAACTCTTGCTGGTACAACTTGGCTTCTTGACACGAACAATGAGAACACAGCGCTCCATTGGTATGCAACACTGCTTTGCATCCAATGCAAGTTTCTTTTCTTTTAGTGAAAGCAGAGAGTGCACCAACTTTCGAAGTCACAACAGTCTTACTACGTGTGTGATCTCCTCCTGCAACCCAAAAAAAAAGAGATTTAGGTTAATTGAAAAACTCAATTTATTTAAATTCATTAGGTTTGCTGCTGGTTTCACCAAATGTTTGATTATGTGTTTAGCACAGTATATCATCGAATTAACTATCTAAGTTTCAGCATGGGCTTTAAACAAATTATTCAAAATTAAACTCGGTCCCATTAAAACCATGAAAACGACCATTTAAGGAGAGAAAATTACAGTTATCTGGTTCCTCTTCTTGTTTGATAGTTATGGTTTCCTTTTATTTTAATAAAACATTCACTGTCGCCTGAATGGTGGTGATTGTGAGAAAACCTTGCCAGATGTGGTTATTATGAAGAACACAATTTAAATGCATTAATAATGCTCTGTTGAGGAAAAGATTCAGGAGAACCTTGAATTTGTTTTAACTCAAAATAATGTATGTCTTATAAACATTTTAAGGACCGTTTATGAAAAACTAACATGTTTATTTCATTTATTGGAAATAATCATGTAAAAGTATTACATTTGTTTTAAATATTAATATTAAAATACAGTAAAACTTGCTCAATGCAAAAATCTGTCTAATGTGAACATAAACTAAGGTCCTAGCAAATAAGAATTCCATGGTATTACATTGCACAATGTGGATTCTTATCTCATACACACAAAAAAAAATACCGATTCCTTGAGATTGCAGATGGAGCGAGTTTTACTCTCTTTAATATGATTTTATACAAACAAAACCTATTATTTTTCTTCATTTGTACTTTAACAAAAATAATCATTTTGTTGCCTGCAGAGAGGTATTTTGTATTACCAGTCAACGGCCTAAAGAAACAAATCTTCTTGCATAGTTTTGCAGTTGCAAAGAATGTACTGCAGATACTTTTAGTCCTACTAACGTTCCACAACAAAAAACCAAACTCTCCACTTTAGCATGAAAACTCAGTTAACTTCATTGAGTTCATTTATTCTGTGGTGATGCTGATGCACAGGGAACTTTTGATTATATTGTGAATATATTGATGTTAAAGGTATGAGGTTATCCAATCCAGGGCAATATCATGAACATATGAAGGTAATTTTGAAAGCCAAATGTTATGGTCAATAACGTAAAAACGTTCAAAAGCTCTAATAATATTCCAATGGGTGCTTCATTTTGGTCATTGATGAAGCAACATCGTTAAGAAAACAAAATCTGGCAGTTTCCTTAGATTTTGACTTTCTAAAACCATATTGCAAGTCTCAAAACTTTTCAATTTTCCTGTGAAAAGTTCCCATTTGTATACAGAAAGGCCTCCCAATATTTTTGAGAACACTGACAAAGAGAAACCGGCCTGTAATTTTGAATTTCATTTTTGTTCCCTTTTTAAAAAGCGCTGTTTTGAAAATATCGGAAAATATTCTTATGAATTGAAGCATTGAAAATGTGTGTGGACAGGTGTATAAAGGCAGGTGCACAAGTTTTTAATAAAAAATCTGTATATTTACTTTTTAGTGTACTGTCTATTCTGAGGATTTCACTGAAAGAAGTTTCAGCAATAAACATTGTCGAAAAGTTTTTGGGAAGCAAATGATGATGTATTTTGTGGTTTTAGTCCCTTCATGAGATCAGCCATAATTCTAGATAGTGTTGTTTGAAGGGGTTTGCAAACTTTTTCAGGATTACTTGCTTTTCTTTTATTATCCTTTAAAAACACATTCTCTACAAAGTATCGAGATGATGTGGTTGAACTTTTTTACGATAATCAGCATTAATTAGTTTTGTTATTATCAATCAAAATATCCTGACTATTTTTAATAATTTTGCCTATACTTCCCATAAAATTCTTTTGTATTTTCGGAAGAAGTCATGGAAACTGGGCGATACTTTATGATGTTCAGAAATAAAATTAAACATCTTTTTAAGATCGTATTCTACTTCCTTGTATGATCAAAGTATTAGGTTTCCATGAAATGTTTAATTTTCTCTATCAAAGAGGAAAGCACACATTCAAGAGAAATGAAAGCTTTGAGGAAAATAAATTACATTTTTAATTTGTGTCATTATAACTGTGTCCCATGACTCCTTCAGCAAGTAGTCTGTAAATAAATGTATGTTGACTTTCATGAATGCTCTGCACATTTGAGTATTACTTATTGTGTCACCATTCATGTTATTAGTATTTGTAAGAATTTGTGTAGTGCTGTCACTGTTAACTAGATTATTTGTTATTTCTTGTTCTTTCACATTATTTTAGTTGTGGTTTTGTTAATTATAATTTGGTCTATTGTTTTTTTGTGGTTTAAATGTATTATGTGTAGGTACATTCACTGTAATATCTAAATTAAAAGCATGAAGTGAATTGAGAAACTGCTTTTCTTCAGGAGATTCACACTCTAAATCAATAATGAAATCTCCACATACAACAATGGATTTAAAAGAGATATTACTAATTTTGTTCAGAGCTATCTCTAGATTTTCTAAGAGAATGAAATAATTGTTCACTTTGTTGGAGGTCCGATGCAAAAGAAGATAATTTTGAGCATAGTACGATTTCAAAACCATTTTCAACTGCATATAACTTAAATTCTTACAAGCTAGAATCAATATCATTTCTTACGTAAATACATGAACCTCCATAAGCAGGGTCCTTATCCCGATTAGCTTGCTCTACAACATGATTCTGCTAAGGTTAAAACTAGGAATTTGGAGTGTGTTTAGATAATTTACTGCAAAAGTTGCCAGACCAAATACTGAACAAATGTGCAGCTGAATAACAAAATTGATGAACTAAAAAATTGAAACAAATCTCTATGGAAGAAATGAAAGGTTTAAAGCAGGCTCATTGTCCTGAATTAACAAATCGTGAAAATGTTGATTTTGAATCCTTACATGCAGAATGTATTCAGCCACAACAGCGAGCTAAAATTATTATTATTATTATTATTATTATTATTATGGATGTAAGAGAAAGCCTTGATTTGTCAACAGAAGAGCACCTGTCCAAGGATAAACAAATAGAGAGCTCATTTCTACATTAAATCCTAGATAAAGCTGTTCACATATCAACGGTTCGTACAGATAGCATAAACATAAACAATTCGACACCATGACCTTTAAAAGTAATCTTGCCAAATTCTAACACAGTTTTACAAATTTTGAAAGGCAAAGACAAAATCAACAGAAAAGCAAAAACTGGAGCTGATCGCATGTTACGCCAGAGAGATTGTTTGAAGAATATATTGATGAAGTTGAAAACAGAAACTGATGGTGGAAATACTGACATAAAATTGAAATATGTAAATGGATACTCAAAATTTTGAGATCAATTAATGGATTTTGTGTGTATGTTACAAGACACACACATACACACATCTTTGGAAAATTAGACAGAACTGATATGGATAGTTTTCAATGCAAAATGGATTTATTTTCTTTAAAACACACCTTGGTGTGCTTCCACAATGTGAGAAAAGTACCATACTTCAAGGAATAATAGCAAATTATAAATAAAGGTGCCGTAAGTGAAACAGTACATTTATGCTGGAATGATAGCTGGAATATCATCTAAGCCAAAGTAAACTTCAATGGCATAGATTTCAACTTCATCAATATAAAGTTGACATCAAGATAAATAGCATCATACCTAAAATTCAACACTATACTTGTAATACAACATTACACTTTCATACTTACATCACTGCACTTTTAATTCTTTGTGTGTAGGGCAGTTGCCCGTTTTATGAAATAAATAAACATTCATTAAGAACAACAATTTCGAAGTTTACTTACTCAGAAGAAGGGATTCTGCTTTATCACCCAAAATAGGTTCAAATATTCTCAAGAGAGGTTTTGAAAGTTGATTTTCTAAATAATAAGTGGAATCTATAGGAATATTGTTCTCTAGAACATATATTGGGTCCTGAAACAGAAATAAATGTATTTTGATAAAATTAATTTTACCTGCTGGCTTAATTACTTAATTTTATATTATAATGCATTCTACTTTCAGTTTTACACAGCCATTTATTGTTTCAAATGAACAACCTTTATTTCATGTTACCTATCATTTACTATACAAATTTTTTTTCATACACTGTGTTTCAGGAACTTCCTTTCACCCATCACCAGATGTCAGTATAAAAACCAACTGATTAATCCTTTATTGGTTTTTACACAGACATGATGATGAAAAAAGAAAGATTGCCAAAAAGATGTTTAGGAATAAATATTATTTAACATGAAATTTAAGTTCTTCCTTTAACCTAAAACACAGCTGTCTAAAAAATTAAATATAGGATGCATTACAATATAAAATAAATTTATGATTGAAAATAAAAGGTAATCATTCTATAATTTAATGCATTAAGTTCCGTATGGTAGTGTGGTGCAAGTAACGGGAGAGGATAGGACAAGGACGAGGAAGGAATGATCACGTCAGAGGCAATGCAGTTACATTTATGACCTGAACCACCTCTGTCGGTATCCCTACTTCATCATAACATACTTTTTTAGGTATGGACATCTTTGTGGGTTGACCAAAATGGGATTTTTCAGTCTCCTGTGTATTCATTTACTCAATATTGCATTCGCTTTCTTTTGCACAGACTACAGATTTCGTTAGTAATGGTTACGCAAGAGCGAAACAATAGTTGTGACATCTTTCCTTCATTTGCATTATTTTGTATATTTTCTATAAATTGACAATTGCATTGTCAATTTTTTTTTCTACTTTTTCCTCCACAAGGACATCTATATTTTCTTATCTGTTATTTCGTCAATATTAGGAGGAATGTGTACAGCATCAATTATATATGCAGAAATAAGATCAACATCTTAAACATCGTAAGTTCACCAGTTGATAGAGGCCTCTATTTTCTTCTATCATTCCCGTAATAAGCAGAATTTTTGTTGAAGGCAAAAAATTACGCTTGAAGCATTGTTTATACAATGATGCAATAATGCAGGATAAGACAATATCGCCAAGATGAGATAATTATATCAAGAATGGAAATATAAAAGGGTGTTACATGTCTATTGTTCAATGATTACATTCCAATTGCATTTGTTCTATCATGTTCCGACCATATACCTCACTAACACTAACAGGTACAACATGGCTATAAAAAAAAAAAAAAAAAAAACAAACAAACAACAACCCATAAAGCTTAAGTTTTTAGAAAAGTAATTACATTACATATAGTAATTACATTGACAGTATACCCCAGAACTGTGAACTCACGCTACATAAAATTTAAACTTGACTGTGATAAATTGTGTGATTGTACAGTAATATACATTGATATTATATTACCAAGTTAAAATGTTTTGGGTGGAGGGTGGAGGGGTCATGCATAAGGAAATGAAACAGTGGGATGATTTTGAATTTACTTCTGGTTTTACATAAAGGGGATGTTGACCCTGACAATGATGCAAGGGGCTTTCACATTTGCCTAATAAGATTTCGCAGGTCACCAGTTGGACAGCCCTGTTCTAGACTTCCGCAACTTATGGCATTATAGTGTGGGGTGGAGCATACAATGGTATGCTACAGTCATTAATGGGAGGTTCAAAAGATAATTGTAAAAATCATTTTCCAAAAAAGGAAATATTATCCACCTGAAACTATGAAGAGAAAAAAATGTAAAGAGTATAAATAAATATTTTATAGAAAAAACAATTCTCTGAATTTTCGAAAACAACTACAAGAATATAATGGGCTAAATGGAACTATTAAGCATGTAACAAAACCATGAATAAATAATAAAATTACGAGAAGTTCTAACATCATTAGCTGTAAAGTTTTTGATGAACTGAACACTGAATTAAAAAATCTATGATATCCAAGGGTTGGGGGAAAAGTCTTGGCAACTATTTTTTTGTTTTTTTGTGAGAACACAAGTACGGATGGAAAATGTGAAATGTACGGAAATGAATGGACAAGTTATGAACTAAGTGCATGGTCATTGGACAAACCACAACCTTTTGTCAAATTTATTAAGGTATTTGAAACGACTGCAGGTTTCTTGTTACAAAGCATTTTAGAATATACAAGTTCACAACATTCCAAGAGCATTACATATCTATTCTAAATGCTCCATTAGGCAATTACTTGATTACCGTACATGCCACATCATGGTCCACACACTCAAAGGTTGTTACATGTGTTACTAGTTGCACATCCCTAGATACTCTTCTGCCCATCTAACAACTATCCAGAATGGAAGAGCATTATTCCTAAGAGCTTCCACAAATTCCGTGTCCTAGGGCACTCTCTCATGAAGAATGGCTAACATGGCGTAAGAGAGCCACTTGAAATGTGTTACATTCATCTTGCACAGTGGCAGACCAACAACTGATTTCACATTTACTTGCTAATAGACACTCACAGAGCCATCTGTTGTTGTGAACTCACATTAGTACAGCATTTCTTTAATGTAACAAATTAAATATTAATTTGATAAAATTTCTTTCGGAAAAAATAGTTGCCATGACTTCTGCTCCAACTATTTGTATATAAACCTGACCACAAGAAAGGGAAAAATAATTGGATTATAAGAATTCCGGATAACACCGTAAACACCTTCTTCAAATCAAGTTAATAAAGTAGTTATAACGATATGAATTTTTCTTTTACTTTATATGTAAGGTTTTTATATTCTTCCCCTTTTGTGTGTGTGAATATATATAAAAAAAGACAACATTAATCCCTTTTCACCTATACCTGTGATCACGTAGATTTGCACACAGGTTTTAGGACTCTACGGAATAATGTATTCATTGTTTGTATTTATTAGTACCTGTTAATAAATTGAAAAATTTAATGTTACATTTCACTTGATACAATGCTCTTGGTTTGAGATTATCCTCCCCCTCAAAAAATATTGCCCGGCAAATACATAGAGGAAGCCGAGAATATGACCACGAATATAAAATATCCGCAGCTTATTGTGATATCCAATATTTAAAATATCCATGACACGGAAAGACAATGTGAAAACAAAAACTTTAGGAACTAACCAATCTGCGAATATTTTTTTTCTATTTACCATATTCAGATTTTGTATCTATTTCTCATGTGCATTTTCATCTTATTGTGAACACTATCAGGATTGTCCTGCCTGTCCATGTAAATAAATGATTAATTAAGACATAATAGACTGAAATATTGATGAAAGATCCTGGTCTTAAATTCGGTTAAATATGGTACATATTCCTTCCTCTCTGCTAGAATCACCTCAACATTAAGAACTCATTATAGCATTTGCAACGCACTAGGTATTACAAGATTTTGTTGTGTAAAGAACTGACTCTAGCCTTTTGAATCTAGGGGCTCACATTCTAATTCTTGACCAACTAAATATATTTTACTTTAAATTATTTTGTAAGAATAGAGAACAATACACTGGATTCAATGGCAGAGAGCCTTCTTGACTTAACTTTTCAATTTTCAAAAAATTAAACATGTATTTTTCTCCACAACCATTGGCAAGTTTAATCGGAAAGCTTTCAAGTGATGATTGATGAAACGCTAGGACAGAAGTTACAGTATTATAATATTACATAACAATTTCCAATAATACAAGGAAGTAGTATGAGCTGCTGCAGCACAAGTTTTAAGAAATTTGGAGTACAGGCAGACGTCTTCAAAACAGTAATCCTAAAATATGTGTGAAAGCAAGTAATCACAGACTTAATTATGGATTACTTTCTTAGGTGACAAAAAACGTAATGAATATCAAACAATATTGAAATTTCTTCCTTCCCCACCTTTCTATTTCTCCTAATTTCTATCTATATTGGCTAGCTCAGTTTCTTTTGTTTTGCTTTTTATATAAAAATCTTATAAAACTGGTAATCACAATAATACAGTATATCTCAGGGATTTATTTTTGAATTAATGAAAGAGTGGACGTGGAAATTCACCACTCATTACATCTCGGCTAATAGAATCTTTTCTCGTAGAATTTAAGACAGACATTTTATTTATTTCTAAAATAATAACACCAATTTATTCTGATTACAGTAGCGCATCAATGCTCTATGCTATTCATTCTCATTTGAAGTATCTTCCTTGGGGCAACGTCATGTTTGATTTATATTTTTAAGTTAACAAATATTTATTATAACTTTTGCACAATAAAAAGTTAACAATCACATTCACACAATATTACTATTACATGTCACAACTGATCATCACTTTTGTGCTCAGGACTGTGCTTAATTACTTAATTTGAAACCCAATTAAATGCCATTTTCTCTATGAAAATATTTTAATTAACTGAAATCTTACTACACTCTTAGACTTGAACAATGAAAAAATTTTCGGATGTTTGCACAGCATCCTTGGATGACAAATTTATATACTTCATGGTCATGACATTATGCAGGCTGCATCCAATTTTGTTAAGATATTGTTTTCAAAGTTCCAATTTCCTTGCGCGAGGTAATTTGTAATTAATGTCTAAATTTATATAAACTTCCTTGCGACTACCTCAATTATTATTTCGTCGCAGTACATGCAACAACCTGCTTCCTTTTCATGCCGTTCATACATTTTTCTTTGGCCTACCTATTAAGTTTTTCCATTTGCTATAATCCTTCAATGTTCCATTCATACATGGTTCATCTCAATAATTAGAGAAGCAAACAAAATTAAATTAAAACCCACAAAATATATTTGCAATAACTGAACCAATGCAATGCTCAATGACTAACCTCTGCTTTCATGTAGGCTGGAGTGTTCTTAGCAGCAGCAGTCAATACATACGGGACTCTATCTCCTAATTTTGGTGCAGTCCCTGCATCTCTTTTTTTCATCTTTTCTGCAAGTGTGACATGAGCTTGTTTAGCAGCATAATCGGATTTTGTCAATTCTTTTGTAATAACTAACTGTGATATATCAATTCTGTTACAAAGTAGGTCTGAAATAACTTGTTTTGCATATTCCATTGCACCTTGAGGATCTCTGAAATTTAAAAAAATAAATATATTATATATTACATAAAATATAGGATCTTTAGTTTGAATCTGAATGTAGCTTACCGATCTATAAGGAGTTTTTGAAGGCATGTATTCATCATATTGGCAACAAGAGGTGAATTGTCTCTTCTCACTGTCTCAATACCCTTACAATCCATTTTATCATACTTGTCTGGACGAGTAAAATACAAACCTGCATATCGCTTTTTGTTGATTAGTAAATAAGGATAATATACTTTTTCGAATTCTAGTTTGATAGGTTTTACAAATTTCTCAGTAACAAATTCTGCAGCTTCTCGACCCAATTCCATTGCTTCTTCCAAAGTTTTTACTCCAAATTTAACCATGACAGAATCAGTATCACCATAAATAACCTATAAAAAATAATTATACCAAAATACCATCAACAACTTTCTAAATCAATATATGAAACAGCATATTACTCTCAACAATCAGTGCAAATAAAATCCAACTAACCACCGCATCATTCTTATAACCATTCGAAACATTATAATGGGATTCAACTTCTTGTTTAGTTTGTTCAATCATGGTTCTGCCATAAGCTGTAACACTCTTTAAACAAAGAATTTAAAGTTATATAATTTTGTACTTGCATCAAATAAATTTATAATTTCTACGCAGTACTTACGCCAGAAATTTCCAAACATGGCAATTTTCCAACTTGGGCACCAGTAAAACCATACACAGAATTAGCACTGATTTTCAGAGCCAATTGTCTTCCATCCAAAACTTTTTGTTTGAATGGGTCAGTTTCTTTCTTCAAATCTGCTTTAGCCCTCTTTCTAGCACTTAGTAAATTTTCTAAAATCTCGGGAAGTAACCCTTTACGAACAGGTGCTTTAACAAAAAAATTTCCAGCAGGAGTTTTTGTGAATTGATCCTGGGTCAAACTGTAACACAGAAGCACAATTAATGTTTTACTCACACCTTGAAATAACCTACATTTCAGAAATTACCATAATTATCTAAATACAAGACTAAGTTCTTCCTAAACATCTCAGTCGAAAAATGCTGAGTTATTATTAAGACTAGTTGATTAGGGTTAAAGTTTTACATTGACATTTCATGTCACAAAACTCGCAAATGATGACAAAACAGTAAGTTGCAAAGACTAAAAATATCACGCATGTCTTCAATACGAAATTATATTCATGGTCGTATTCTCTGCATCTTTGCAAATGCTACTGCAGATTTGCCGAACTATGCAAGCCGATATTTTTTAAGGGGCCGGTAACAAACTTCAAACAAATGGTATCGTATCAAATGAAACGTTACACTAAAGTATGGTACTGTATTGTGAATGTTATGTATGTTTTTTCATCTTGAGTACAACTTCCGGCTTTATTGTTCAAGAATATACACAAGAGATAGCAGAGAAAAAGATTTAATTTTTGTTAATCATCAAATTTTTAAAATAAACTGTTGTTATATGAAACTTTCTCACTATTTCCTACCCATAAATCCCTTTGTTAATTTATAACACAAGAAACCACAAAATATGGATTCTGGCTATAATACGTATATTAGAGGAAATAATTAGCTATATATCTGGGATGAGCGATTTAAGCGTTTACACTGCGGTGCAACAGTATACTCTAGACAGGTCAAGTGAGGTGGAAGACCTGGGATGGCGCACGTGGTGAAGGAATGGGATAGTAGACAGACAGATGTGATTGAGATGCATGTTGTGAGGTGACATTAATACAAGTGTCTATTATGTGGTGTACATCATTAAGTTTTAACTAAACCGTATAGTCTGAAATTATTGCGTCCTCTAAAGAAACCCAATCTCACATCCATAGGAAAGGGATTAATCCACTTTTTTGTTATCAGAGCCTGACAAGAGTTTTTCTATTGAAAATGAGCTTCAAGGAATGCCGTAAGTGATACAAATATTTTTAGAAACACAGAATTATTTCATCACTTTTTGTGTTTTATACGAAATCATTTCAAGCAGGAACCTCCAATACCTAATTTTTCCCAAGCATCGAGCAGGAGACAATAGTTAATGATATCAAAAGCTTTTGAGAAATCTGTGTAAAGAATTAGTTAAAATTATCGTTTTAAAAATTCTCAAGAGACCTCTTCATAACTCCTATTTTCTCCCTTCTTTTTTTCATAAGTGAAATTTACCTCAATTTCTCTTTCATCCCAGAAGGAAGTAGAGTGGTGTAGCACAAATTGTGAGCCATCATAATACTAGGATACAGAGAGCTGAAATCAAGAGTAGCTATTGGATCACTATAATAGCCCTTCTTTGGCTCTATGACAGTAGCTCCCTCATACTGTTCTTCCTGAATACCGCTTGAATAGGCCGGCATTAAGTATCCCTTGGGCTTGGCCTACAAAAACACAAACACATTATTATTAGCCAATTTAAATGCCTGGAATTTCTCAACTATATTACACATTCCATTTATTACAATGTCTTTTAAAATAAAATAGGTAATAATGTTGTATTAAAAAATGTCTGAATTCTAATTACTACGTTAATATTAATATTTCCCTAAACTTTTAAAGATTTTTCCAATGACCACATTCTCAGGCATAACTGGACTACATACTAAAACTACTCAAATTTACAATCTCTCACGCATAAATTCAAGAAAAAGTTAGTTTTCTCTTCAATTGCACTATGAAAAATAGGATATATTCTCTTAATTCAATTTTTTATAAATCAAAATATTAAAAATACTCACTGTACGCAAAAGCTGTGAAACTACTTTTATTTGCTGACCTCTGGTCAGCAAGCAAGATAGGGGAACACCAGTCACCCTAGCCATTTCCATATAATTAATAATGCACATTAGTTTATCCAGTAGACGAAGAGGCAGGTATGCATCTTTGAGACAATACACAGCCAATCTGCGCCTAGTTTGAGGATCACCATTTTGCAAATCTGAAATGATGTTATGATGCACATCTTCCTTTTGCTCTTGAAGGAAGTGAAAACTCACTGCATTCAATGTGTAGGACCGAAGCTTGTAATCTCTCACTAGTACCTATCAAATTGCAATTACATTGAAGTTTCAACACTATAGACTTGAATTCTTTGGTAAAAAAGCTCATCAGAAATCAATCATAAATTATCATTATAAACATGAGCAATACTCACTAAAAGCAAATCAAACAGAACACGTCCTTCCATATTGACGCTCTTGTTTTCTCGCCGACCCATTTGTTTGCTTTGTAAAATCTGCTCTTTGACCACAGATCTAAAAGGCATTAAAATCTGTTATATTCATGGCATATAATTTGAACATTTTAAATGGCAGAACTTACTTGCTTACTTACTTGATGTCTTTTATTCTACCCAAAAAGTGGAAGTTTTTTGCATTAAGATGTTTTGACCTGTCAAGCAAGTATGGAAAATCGAAGTTATTAATGTTGTAACCAGTAAATAAGTCAGGGTCAACTTCTCTAACAAAATCAGCCCATTTCTGGAAGGAAAAAAAAAAAAAAAGTGTCAATTTAAGTCAACGAACAAAAACAACAAAAAAGGTAGGCTGTTTATTAGAAAATCATTTAACTTACCTCAAGCATATCCCTTTCTTCTTTGAAACTTAACACTTGACATCCAACTATAGGTGCACAAGTGTCTAATGTGAACACATTTCTTAAGAATGGTTCATGATCTCCTTGATTAATAACCATGTTTGCTATTTGAATAACAGGATCTTGTAGGGCCTCAGGAAATATACCTTTAATTAAAAAGCGAAATGACCTTCCCAAATTTCTTATTGTTCAATTGAAGACTTATTCAGCTTATTGATTACCAAAAGTATTCAACAAACCTTTTCGCCCGGCACATTCAATATCAAAACTAAGTATTCGAAAGGGTGCTACTTTACTCCATTCCCCTTCAGGGGCATGGGAAATAAATTTATCCCATGCAACATCAACTTCAATCTGACAACGAGACTTCATGTCAGTCTTTGACCGTAATCTCCACACACCAGCTGGTAATTCAACCCAACTACAACCAACAACTTCTGCATCCACCATGAAACTAATAAGAAAATTAAATTATTGGACCATACAATCATTACATAATCCCAAAATAAAATTGTAAGATACAAATACTGACCGAATATCAAAATCAATGTTTGATTCAAAGAACTGATAACTGTGAGGAGGCAGACTGGAGAAGGAAATTCCCCTCTCCAGTAGACGTTTAGCACCGGCTATGTGCCTAGGCAAGGTGACAGTGACTTTAATAAAAATTGCCAGGTCCTCTCCCCGATAGCCAACCATATTTTGCTTTTTGACAATTTCCACTGCTAAGACAGCTACAGGTACTTTGTCTCGTGCAATGTAGTTATCAGCTAACATAGCACTGTTTAAAGCTTCCTGTTAAAAAAAACCGTAGAAATCACAAGAGGGAAGCAAGGGAAGTACTACGATATGAAACTGCCCAACAAACAGAAAGATAACATAATATTCCCCCATACGCAATACACATTCCAGCTGCTATACTTATCTCTCACAAAAAAGATTTCACTTTTTTTCTCTCTTCACAGTTCATGTAAATATTTTTTGAAATACAATTAGTTTCTCATGTGTAATTAAACTTGAATGTCATTTTAGATATTCTAATATTTTTTATTGATTAAATTCATTCAATTTATTTAATTAAATGTCCAATTATTTACAAGAACAAAATGAACATACTAAAAAAAATCTATTTTATATAATATTTTAAGTTTATAAGCAAGTTCTCTACTCACTGCCTCGACAGGCACATGGATAATAACTTAGTACTCAGGGAAAGAGCTGGGAATTGAAGTTACAATAGAAATCATTCAAGTGTCAACAAATTGCAGAACAACATGAAATCTTGCTGAGACAGCAGGTCAGATCATAAGTGTGAATGAAATCATAAGTGTGAATGAATATCATCTGTGTGAAAACAAAATGCTATTAGCTAGCAATTAGAAAATTGCTACAAGTTTAAGGCAGCCAAATAAATAAGCTTATTTCTCAAGAGAGAAAAAGTCTACTTTAAATATCAGAACAGAGCAGACATAATTGTTAAAATTAACATATTTCTACATGCGCAAATTACCTTGAATTCATGGCAATGTTTATCTGTAAAACCATCTGGAGCAGAAACAAAGAAATATGGTGAAAATCCATGGACATGGCAACACACAGAATTACCCTCCATTGTCACTCCATACATCCTCATAACAGGTACAGGCCCCTGCTGTGCACCAGGCATACCTGCCATTGGAACACCTAAAACAAGCAGAAAGAAAGATCTAGTTCAATATAGGCTTGGTAATTCTTTGTGAGAGCATTCACTGTATATCCTGAATTTCTAACTTGCTTTATATCAACAGTTATTACGACCCCTGTGTTTTCATTGAATCTGACACTTAATCATTTAATTTTATCAATTTGTCACACAGGTAGAAGTTTACGGATTTTACTTGATTTTGAAGCATATACTTCATTACTTAGCTCGATTTTAGGATACTGTCATTTCCCATTTTTTTTCTAATTTCCCATTATGATTGGATGGAATGTTGCCCTGACAGTATGAAAGCGTTTCAAAAGAGCTTAATATGATCAAACCATTTACAATTTACCTTAATTAAATTCATTAATGTTTACTTAAGAAACAAAAAAAAAAAAAAAAATTATAAAAAGAATATCCAATAATAAAAAACTATAAACAGCCTGCCTGTGTTAGTGTCAGCTGCTTTTCCAGTACCATAACTGACCCCAGTATTACAAACAAAACAACAAACAAACAAACTAGCTTTCTTGCTAACTAGCAAGCTTCACTGTAACAACATCTTGAAATGTGTTACAACTAAATTTACTTTTCCTCCTGATTCTTTACCTTCAATAAATTAAAATTAATAACTTTCACACTTTATCACTTCTCATATTTTATCCCTACCTGTATAATGATCGATGTCTATTTGCTGAAAGACTAACATATCTTTCTGTGGCTCCAAAGGAGGAACAGGAGGACGACTCCATCTTGCACTAGTTTGACCAGTTTCTGGACCCTGAAGTAAAAGACAAAAATTGTAATCGATTTTCATATATAGTTTAAATTATTTAAAAATAAGTAGACCTATATTACTTCTGTTTGAAATTTAATGGTAGAAAAGACATACAATTAAGGCAGTTTTCATTATAATAAATATTACAATAAGAAACATCTGACATTGGATAATTTTCTAACGCATTTTTTATAAATTTATTAAAATGGATTTACAAAACATTCAATTATTAAATTAAATATAACACCTATTAAATGTAAATCAAGTGATGAAATAATATTCCTCTGACAAAAATGTTAAAAACACAAGGAAAATAACAGGAGATTGAAAGTGTAGGTACTGCCTGCACAAGTTTTCTTGAACTGCAATTTCTCTACCCCTCTAACCCTCTGTCATCAGTTTTTTAACAGTTGAATTATAGGGAATAGCTTACATACATAATATGTTTAATGGGCAACATTGGGCATGAGGAATTTCCATGTAAAAGGAATTTATTTACATAGGCAGACAACTATTGGAATTGGGTAGAAACAGTATTGCAATAACATCAGTGGCTGATAATGTAACAAATTCTCAGCTGTAACATCCTCCAAAACAAGAACTTGAGAAAATCTATTAAGGTGGAACGCCAAATTTGTTCATGAAGTACAACATACAATACAAAAAATTAAAAGAACTAATCCTCTAAATAAGGTTGTGGTTATATTTGCTTATCCTATCAAAAATGTTTACCACAAGCCACAACCAATAGTTTCTCATAATATGGTGCCAAAACATATTGCCTGATTGAAATACAGACGTTCAAGGGAGGCAGGGTAGGGGAGAAGACTTTAGGGGGTTGGAAGGTCATTTGCAAATGGCAAGAGCTCTTTCAACAATTCTGAACGCCACTTGTTGAAGAAAGGCTGGATCCCAATGACACATGCATTACAGGGCCATCATAATGATTGCACCCACAAAAAACAAGACGCCTGGTGCAGTAGATCCACAGAGGTCCCTTACAAAGTAGAGGTGGCCCCTTATTTCAAAACAAAATACACACACATACGCACTACATAAATAGAATTCATCTCTCCATTCAACAAAAATAACTAGTGTGATTAATTTTAATTAGAAGTAAATACATATTTATGTTTTCAAAATGAAAAAAGGGAAAAAATTAGGGCCCCAATTAAGACTGTATCTGTGGCAAATTGTCCCACCAGTCCCCCTTCTTTGAACCCATAAATATGCACACCAATTCCATCAATTCACAAATTCGTGTTTTGCAAAAATAGTTTTCATCAGGAAAAAAATTGATTTTTTTCTTCGCCAATACTTAAAAATAAGCACATGCTTTGGTCATAATACAAGGAGAGTTAGATAAATTAAACCCAAAGAGTAGGATTTCATTGACAGTTCAAACAGTACTACCTTGTTCATAACAGAAATTTCATATTAAAATAAATAACTGTACATTCAATTTTAATAGTGAAAGTCAGTGATATTATTCGTCAATATTATACAAACACAGCCCACATTAAATATTACAACAGAGCATGACTGAAACTTAAAAATACTAGCCATAACACCAAAGCATGTATACAATAACACAAAACACAATACATCAAATCCAATTGCATAATTTCCATTACTCAAAACCAAAGAACATTTCAACAATTATATTAATACCTTTGTTGGTGAGGATGAAGACATAACAATGCCTGTAACATTGATAATGTTTCACATACACATTTAGAAAATGAAATTCAATCAAATAATAGTAATTTTATTAAAGCTTTAACTACCTTCAAAAAGCAAGCACTATAACCTAAAATACAGCTAACTGCATTTTAAATGTTATTTATAAATTATCATTATTACTATTAATATTGTCATAGTCATTTGTTCATATAAATATTTACAAACAACTCAAAACATTAATTACCTGTTAATTACTCTACAACAGACATATGACTGTAACTGAACTGTCAAGTTTGTTTGTAAGCATTTATGTTTACTCTTTGATCACTAAACTCATTCCCTTCCATATGCATCCTACCAGGTTAAAACAGCATGAGTGAATCGAATGTTTACAAAGGCCACAAAAAGGAATTCCGAGATACAAATAATTTTTCAAGAAGAGCATTGTCGTGATGGAATTATTAATTTTTAACCTTAATAAAATCATTTAAAGAACATACCACTCCCAACAATTCCGAAGATTCAGTAAATTCTTGACTCTCAGATTCCAACTGATCCATGTATGCCAATTCATCAGCAAACGATCCAGGATAATCATCGTCGGCAGAGACATTTCTGAAATGTTTCATGAAAAAGTCACAATGTAATCTTTACAGGTTTCAAATTAAAGGTAGTCAGTATATGTACATTTCCTTAGCTTAATACACATTACAAAACAAATAAGGACTTCACACATGGGGAAAACGAAAAATCTACACCTCACTAAATAAATTATTGTTTTTCTTCTCCCCCCCCCCTATCTCAATGAAACATTATAACAAATGTTTAAAACATATTTGAAGTTATTTTTATTAAATATTTGAAATGTAAGTTGAATTTAGAAAAGAACTGAAGCAATTTCCATTAGTAAATTTACACCGATTCCTTATCATTTCATTTTCAGGGCGTTGACAGTTTAAGGACTGGTAATAACATGGGCGAAGTACAACACAATGAAGTGGAATTTTTTGTCAGAACTCTAACCTGCTTTTCTTATTTGGTCCCTGGAATCCACCATAATTCCTTTTCTTGCTATCCATTATGGTAAATCGCCCGATTTCTGATGAACCTGTAGAAGGATAAATAGCTCCACGAGACCAATTAGATCTTTGTAACGAGATTCTCGACCTACACCAACTTTGCAACACTCTATAACGTTAAAAATTATTTCAGTTTCGATTGCACTTAATACACAAAATTACCAATAAAGTCTCGGCTCACATTACCGTAATACAAGCCCACGTACATACAAAGAGGACACCCAAGAGGACACCGGTAATCCGATATATACTCTCTGCCGGTAATCATTCAGACGGTTGTGCCTCCGCCCACATTGCCACCTTATTTTCCCGCGTTTCCAATCGACGATTGGTACAGTTGCAC